CGCCAGGATTTTTCTTGAGTGGGGCAAAGCACATTTCCCCCCAAATCCTTATGATTTCCTGCATTTTCCCGATTGATCATTTTTTCGAGGGTGGGCAGGGTATTTTCCCCCGGCGACCCCAACCCTTTAAATAAACAACAATATGATTTCGCCCCTCTCCCCCCCTTTTTTTTCTCCTGTTTTTTTGGCTTGCCCTCCCCCCCCCCCCCTCCACCCACCTCGCGACGCCCATGATAGTTGCCATTTGATTATTGTGATTATTTATTTCGCGTGCTATTGTAATGAATCTGTTGCTTATCATTCATCTGGTAAACAATTCCTAAATGTTCACTTCCTGGTGTTGGATTTTTTTTTATTTAATCAGCTGATTCATCTGTTTATATACATTTTTGTTTCGATATCGTTTTAACTTCAATATCACGAACGGTTAAGGAGAAAACCCGCGGAGAAAGTGGTCGGGTTGTGCCCGATCACTCAACAAGATCAAACATGTATATAGCTATGTAGGCAATTATACAGGCATCTTTCGAAGCCGGGGGCTTATATGAAGATGCCTTGACAAAACAAAACCGAAATGTCAACTCAACAATTACAGAAACAGACAATCGGACAAACACAAATAGAGACCATGGGATAAAATGTGAGGGTTAGAGAAAATAGAAAATGCCATAAATAAATAATCATGTAGCTAGTCATAAATTAAAGCTAAGCATCAATATTGTAAAATAAATAAAAACGATATCGAAACAAAAATATAAATATACGGATGAATAAGCCGATTCAATAATAAAAAAAAATCCAACACAAGGAAGTGAACATTTACGAATTTGTAACCAGATGAATGATAAGCAACAGATTAATTACAATCGCACGCGAAATAAACAATCAAAATAATCAAATGGCAACTATCATGGGCGTCGCGAGGGGGGGGGGGGTGCAAGCCAAAAAAAGGGAGAGTTCCTTACACTAACGATCGCACAAGGCATGATGGGAAACACCATGGCGCTGCAAGATCGTACCCACGGGGCACGAGGTTGGGATAGAGGATATCCATACAGCATTCACACAGTAGACTTTACATATTGACCAATTCGCCCCTGGTTTCACGAAGATGGCTGCGTATAATACGAACGTTCAGCGCGTATATACGCACACGTTGTATCAACAGTTGACGCGCACTTTAGTCACGTACACATATAATGATGTTCTAAAAGGGACACATTTCCGTAGTGATTATTATTTCCAAAACGCCGAAAAAGTGAACTGCGGCATTGAGAAAGTAAATCACGTCGTTAGAAAAATTGTAAACCTTGGTCAGTGGTGGTGGTCAAAATATAAGTCAAGTGAACCGCGATGTTACAAAAGAAATCATGCTGTCTATAAATTCGGCAACTTGTCCTTTGTAGATCACCAGCCGGTCTCACCGGTCTCACCAATATGGCGTCAAATTCATTCATTGTGCGGCTCCCTGTTCGCTATCCAGTCGTTATATAGAGATCAGTGGTTGACGTGCACCGTTCCTTGTGTGAGAGGACGCGCGTACACGTTATATGTACACGCAGTGGCCGCGCACCCCCAATTGTACTTCCTTTGCCGCTGAGGGGATGGGGGATATTTACCCCCCCCCCCCCCTCCTATATATTTCGTAAAGCGTGCCGTTTTTTACGAGCGCTCTTTCTTAACGAGCGCCCGTTTTTTGGAATGTTGCGCAAAAGTCGGCAAATGTGCCGCCATGAAAAGCGGCACCTATTGTCCGATATTGCCCATGATCGGCCGGTCTGAACAGCGCCCCCATAAGAAGATGGTGTCCAATCGCCCCACCATTTGCCCACGAAAACCGGGATCTGAACGTCCATGGACAGCCGAGTTTTGTGATCTTTTATATTGAAATACATGTGGATATAACGTGGTAATAGAGTATGAAAATTACGTGATTTTTTTCACAGATAAAAGTCAATAAGATGTACTTTAACCCTATTTCTTTTATCAAAATGGAGCCACATAATTTTAAGAATTCGGTTAATTTCTTTTCAATCCACCCTGTATTGTGGCTTGGTGGCTTCCATCTCATGAATTGCTTGAGTTGTTGGAAAGCTGATGTGTGGAACCGGATTTGTCGAAAGAAAGTTGTCGATGGAAGTCATCGCACTCTTTTCCTCTTTAGTGAGTTTATCTGCTATTGCATTTGGACCTTCTCCGTCTGGAGTTGCTCAATAACAGTTTCAACTCCGTTCCAACATCCAGCCTCCCACTCAATTGTGACGTTTGCGGTTTCCATTTTTATGCTGACATACAAATGGAGACCGCAAATGCGGTCACACTTTTGGCACATTTGCAACATTTATTTTTAACGTGAACGTAATGCTACGTTTGTAAATATTTTCATAAGGATAATGTAATATTAAAATATAAATAAATTAAATAAATTAAATATAAAAAAAGACTGCACAGAACACGTGAGGGTTTCGTGGATCCAATAGTATAGTCGAGTGTTGTGTTCACAGTCTATTTACACAGCGCCCGCTGGAGTCGAAAAGATTGGGCTGCGCCATGTTGGAATTGTGTGAATAAAGTGTTTACTCTTGAATCTGAATTGCTCTTTCTCTCAGTACTGAATTTGTCACCCATTTATACACTTTGGAAATACTAGCATCAAGGCAGGACGAAAACTCTTCAGAACTACTAAAACGGTGCAAGAACAAAAATCAAATGTAAATTCAAGACATTTGAATTTCTTTATTGACCTCAATTGAGGACCGCGGCGATCAGAATCAAAACATTCTTTATATGTTAGACCTTCCATAAAGGTATGCATAATGGACGATAGAAAAGGAAATATAAGGAATTACAAAAATGCACGTGATGTTCTGATTTTACAGTTTTAAAACCCTTTCCCTGAACGGTTTCGTAAGACTAAAGTAGTTTATGATACAAAAGGCATCACAAAAATGAAATCAATGCAACTCATATTTTTAGCAACATACCCAAGCAAAACATAAATGAAGGTTTTGCCCCGTACAAATGTTCTGTATAACTATCATTACTGCATTCCTTCTTTTGGTTCCTTTGTACAAGTGGGCACTGCTCGTTTATTTTCTTCAGTGTTTATCCATGCAAAAAAAATCTCACCAAAAATAAATTGAACACTTCCGTTGCCACATTGCAATAAGTGGCATATCCAAAACGTGAACAAATAAACATCAACTCAATATTCCGCATATGACCGATTTGATCACGCCCCCTGTAAAATGTATCAGGCTATAATTCCTTTCTTTGAATGTGCGGCCAAAGAATATCAGATCGAGCCAACTGGGTTTAGAATTTAGGAGCTCAAATCATGAAGCCAACGCATCAGCCGATGCCATGATTTCGGGAAAGGCACAATATCAGTGTATTTAAAATATACATTATCCATCATACAAAAGCTCTTGAGTAAATATCTGAGTACGTTATACTTATATAAAGAATTAAGCATCAGTTCTCCAACATTCTAAGTGTAATTTTATGAAAAGTAGTGAAAAAATGGAGCCATACAAATTGCGTAAATGTAATAAGATATGTTAAAAAAAATATGTGGCTCGCTCAGTTTAATAAACATAGGGCGATTAAGTACATATTATTCACTGGTAACATTGAAAATGTCATGTATTTTGCGTGCTATTTTCACAAGCTAATATATTTTAATACACACATCCATAAATTCAGCTGTAAACCAATGAACATGTTTGTACATGCGTTTTCCTGATTTTAAGAAAGAACAAACATTTACCCAGGAAAACGGACAAAAATCACCATCATTATTTCAGAAAAATATTATCAAAATCTCACTTGTATCTGAATGTATGTGGGTAATCTGTGGTTCTCACATAATACAATATAGCTTCTTAGGGCATTCCATTGACAGCGCTAGAATGCAATCTTTTAGTAAAAAAATTAAATATAGTCTGTTTGTAACATTTTTAGTAAACTTCTAATGGCATGGATCAATTTCAGTATTTTATTTGTTGAAATGAGTGGAAAAAGCATGCTTGTTTAATGTACGCTTCGTTGGTGTGTCAACTGTTATTGCTTTTTAAGAGGCAAACAACCACTCCAGGTCACTTTCTTTTTCACTCATCCTGTATAATAGACAAATCTGACAGTCATTGACGTGGATAGTCACTGAGCACGCTGTAGGCCTAAACTCATACAAAGTTCGTGAATTACAACCTAAAATCAATGTCAGCCATCACCTAGATTAACCAAATGGATCTAATGGTCACAATCGAAGAAATAGCTCATTATGTGTTGTACAGACTTATTTCGTAATACTACAAATTCCGCCAAGTCTCACATAAAACTGAACCCTTCCGATGCCACATTGCATAGTAAGTTCCATAACCAGAAAAAAAATAAACTTCAACTCAATATTCCCAATACGCAGGATTTTATCCTGCCCCATGTAAAATGTATATGAGTGACTACTTTATTTGTTAAGTGTCAAACCTGGCTTTGGCTTTCATTGTTGTACGTCTTCGAATATGTGGCAACAAAATCCGATGATGCCAAAATCCCTACAGTGCACGGGAGCTCAACAAATTAAGCCAATGTCTGCATCCGATGCCATGATTTCGAAAAATATTTCAATATTAGTCTGTGTAAAAAATACATTATCCTTTATGAAACAACAGCTCTTCAGTAAATATCTGAGTACGTTATGCTTTCTTCATTTATAAAAAAAAAAATAAGCGTCAATCAGTTCTCCAACTTTCATTTGAATTATTCTAGAAAGGAGCAGGACAATATTATTTCATTGCCTCTAAATCTATTTCTTGACGCATTGCATGAACGGCTAAAACCTAATGTACATCCAGATACAGCTTAACATGAAAAATCAAGAATTTATTTCTTCTTCCAACTCCAGATATCGTGATTCCATCAGGTCAAAGATCATCGATGACCTATTTAACGAGTTCTTGGTACTGTTGTTCACCGGTGGGGGGCGCTTGAGCCTGCGGATACTACCCCTGCTGGGCTGGGTAGGCTATACATTCAAACAAACAAAAAACAAAGGAAAATGGCCCAATGCAGTTTTAAGGATAAGACAGCGTGTACATTCTCCGTTATGTAACAACAGCTTTTGAGGAAATATCTGAGTACACTTTTCTTCATTCACTGTATGAAATTTAAACGTCTGCAATATCTCTTTATTGACACATAAGGTAGTCAAAATGCTAAGAACTAATGTACATCCACATGCAACTTAACATGAATAAGTCAAGACTTAAATTCTGTTTCAACCCCTAGATATCACGCCTTCAGGTCAAAGTTCATCGATGACCTATTTAATGAGTTTTTGGTACCATTACTCACCGGTTGGGGGCGCTTGAGCTTGCGGATACTGCCCCTGCTGGGCTGGGTAGGCTAAACAAGAACAAGGGAAAATGGGCGACTAAAGAAGGGTGTTATACTTTTTATATACACATACACCAACGGGGGAACACATTATATGAATCAGGAGACTGCATGGGAGAGACCATAAGCCTGGGATTTTCCATCTGATCATTACTATAGCTTAAAATAATATTTTTTTTTAAGACGTCTCTTACCAACTTGTGGCTGACCAGGAATGTTGTAGAAAGCCGGTCCCTGGGGTTGTGTGGCAACCACCAGGTGTGGTTGAGCTTGGTATTGGATCTGTCATTATGAGAACAATTCTACTTTATTTGCATGTTTGTTTTCTCTCAAATACATCATCCTCTAATTAAATACCTACCACCTTGCTATCGTACGTGTAATTGTTCATCCCAAATCTGAATGTGTTTTTCTTTTTACATCGACCTCTCCTCTTGACACCTAAGTGTTACCATAATGTTAACATTTAAAGTGTTCTAATTATTGTGATCTCTGAGCAAATATAGGTCTAAAAGGCATTCGCTTTATTTTCTCGAGTATTTGTTTTCGCACTGTAACATATAGGCCTATTTATCCTTTCATAATTTCGTCTACTAGCTTCAGTGGTAGTTCAGGGCATGAAACGGACAATAACTACAAGGAGAGTTAAAAAAAAAAAAAAAAAAGGAAACCCAAATGGTGGCCCCCTATTAAAAAAAAAAAGTACTGCATGTAGCGCTTGCCAGCTTTTGCCTAGATCATGTACCTTAATGTGATCCGTGGACAAAGTTGAAATGGTGTTTGTATTCAAAATTCCATAACTTGAAAAGTACGAGAGCGATTTGAATGATTCTTTCACTGAAAGAAAGTTTATTAATCAGGCTTTTACATCGTAGATCTGGAAAGCGCTACATGCAGAACGTCTTTTGAAAAAAAAATGGGAGCACCATTTGGGTTTCCTTTTTTTTTTCACTCACCCTGTAGATTGTTTTTGTCAGAAGTGCTTTCGAAAGAAAGCCAATCAAAGGATGAAAGGTAGGCCTATATTGCCACATGCGATAATAACTGCCATACTTGTGATACATACATGCCGCGATGAGCGCACTATAGCTTTTCAGGTGAATTTAAACTGGAGTTTACCTCAAAAGCATGAAATGCTCGGTTCGTACAATCACAAGGTCTCAAAAGTCCTTAATAACCTAATCCCAACGCACCATGTCCTAAGACAAGTCACAATGAGCTAATTTACACCCCGTAAAACTGAATTTTACTTGATCTAGAAAAAAAAAAGCAATGCAGATCTACAAGGACATAACTTGGTGTTGTCACGTACCACAGTCTGAGTTGCTGATCCACCACTGCAGAGTGGACCGCAGGTCATGCTGGCACCAACGATGGCGACAACAAACTCCGCTAAGGCGAGAAGTATCAGTGTAGCATAAACACCATTGATGGCCGCCTGCATAGAATCATTGCAAGAGATGATGTATTAGTTACCTTCACACTTCAAGGGCATCCCACAATTCAACACATAAATATTATTAAACCTAAATATCTTTGCGGTACGTAGGCCTAACGTTCCGTCTTGTAAACGTCTTGGTATCTTTCAAAATCGTTTAACTTCATCATACACATTGAAACACAAATCGCAGTTTGGAAATACTTCAAATCAAGAAAAGCGGAGACGTGATTCTCATTAATATAGCGCCTCGAAAGTAAAGCAACGACGGCAAATTCGCTGAGAAATAAACAAATGTAACAAATAAGACCATTAAAAAGAAGATATACACCCCTGGAGGCAGAAACACGAAAACGTTTTTCATTGTCAGCGGATTAAAGTTCTACTCACCTGCAAATAACAGCATGGTGGAGTGTAATTATAGTAACGATAACGTGTATAAAAAAGGAAACGTTTCTCGTTAACGGTGATTAAAGTATGACCCACCTTCAAATCACAGCGGTACCGATATCTACCATACGAGTTATAACTGTAGTCGTAGTAAACGCATCTTGAATTGATGGTTGACATGCTGCCGGCACTAAAACCAATGACGCAGCACGTCGCCAAACAAGCCAAGATGGACATGACCATGTAGCCGATAGCCTGTGCAGAAAAATCACAATTCCTTCAAAATCTTTCTAAAAGATTTTCTGTCAATTGGTGGAATTGGTCCAAGTCCATTAAAGGGGTCATATGTTAATATTCAGGCCATATATCTGCGAAATATCACAGGACTGTATTCATTTGTTACTTTTTCCCCATTTTGAAGATTTCCCACTTCAAAGTAGCAACAACTGAACACCGTTAATACTGCCAAGTAAGAAACCCTTGACAATGGCTTACCACTCCGGAATTCTTCTTACATCCTGACACTATGCCCAAGATTCCAGCGACGACGTAGAACTGTACAAAAAAAAACATTGCTGAGATTTAGGAAAGGCTAAAGGATTCATTTGGCGTCCACACGTGTGCAACAGATGTATACGAATGCAGCCAAAATGTTCATTTGGCAAGATATTGGACACTTTAGCCTCCGATGTGGACACAAAACGAAAGTGTCTGTTGTACAACGTAAACGTATCATTGCACATGTACACCGTAACCCCACCGTAAACCTCGTGCATGTAAACAACTATTCGTCTTTTTTAATGAGAAATATTCCGCAAAATTCATTCCCCGCTCTCCACATAAGCCTCTGTTTAAAAGTATGATCATAATAGGCATCAAAGCCAAAAACAAACGAATCAGCACTGTCAATAAACAAAGAATAGCATGGAATGAGGGTGAAAATTGTACTCACTAATATACCACACCAAATTGGAGATCCGATGTCAATGATATCGTACACACGGTTAAATGCAGTCACGGTGGCAATCCCAAAAATGACGGTCAAGGAACCCAAAACCACTTGAATTGTTCCTGTCCACAGAATACCCTTCCAGTTACCACTTCGAGGCTGTGGGTTGACCGTGCCGAAAGTAACGCCGGCAGCGGGTTGCACCGTCACCTGGTGAATCAGGTTGAGTGTCAATGGTTTTTCGGGGTATGACTCATTGGTCTTGTGTGGGCCCATAAGCATTTTTTCGGTACACTCTTTGAAACGCTCAGGATCACGTATGGATGCCTGTACAAGTTCAAAACCACTTGATTCAATGTTTTCTTACCCTTTCATGGGCGAGGCCATAACATTTCAAAGTGGGGGGCTTCACATGCGAAACAAACTGTTCAGATAATTTCAATTTTCTTTTTCGCACTTTGACAGCTCACCCAAGGCCAGCATTTTTCCTCATTTGGGTTGGGGCCAACTTTTATAAAGGTAAAATATAAAAATATAAAAACAATGAACTAAGTCAATGTTTTCATTGATACACTCGCGCAACACGACACACACTATGTCCTTGAGGTAGATATAATTGTTCTCATGCCAAAATTAGCACATGAATAAGGTCCGTGTACGTACATGACATTGCAAACACAATAAGCGGACTGTATAATTGTGCGCGTGTAGTCATGTACGAAGACCAGCGGCGTGTACAGGTTGCCTGTAATGAATGGTACAAAGCAGGCAATATGGCGACAGCATAGCGAATACCGCATATGTAACATAAAAGCACCATCAATGTCATTCATATAACTATCTTAAAATAAGTGATGGCTTATAGTAATTAACATAATACTGATATACACACAGTGCACGATATTGGGGCTCTATTTGATTTTCTTTTACACCATAATGTATTATTCTGAACTGTTATATTCCGGGAGAATTGACTGGCTTACCAGTTGTTGCTGGCCGACGGGCTGAGGCGCAGCCACGTAGGAAGGAGGGGCGTTAGTAGTGGCCATCACCGTGACAGAAAGTATCTCTGGATTCTCTGTAATCAATCAATCAATCAATCAGTTAATTGTCTGTTGGTCTGGTTCATCTATGTTTGCTCGCATTTCAAAGATGACCTCTGTGGCAGCTAAGCATTTCATAAACAAATTATGTATTTATGTCCTCAAATTAAGTTCTATAATTTTGTATCGATCAATTCAAGTACACACAATTTGTTCCTTTGATTTTTAATAAAACAAGGCTAATTCAAATTAAAAGAACTTAAGTATTGGGTATTACCATTCATGAAAAACTTACTCGGAAAACCGTTTTGACGAAGAAGCAATAAAAATATTCAAGAACACTGGCATGTTACTCGTTTAAAATAGTACCTCCCGAGTACAATTTCATTTCATTCGTTTTACGATATTTAAATTACTCAATCTTGAATTGGGGCAGTTAATACGTTTACGAAACGTTAATGTGACACATTACTTACTTTACCAAGACGAGCGGTTCGTGCAATTTCGAATGCTGGCTATCGTGATCATGATGTTTGCTAAATTAAAATCTATTATATTGTAATGACTTATATCACTTCACGGGAATAACTCATGTATACATTCACGCATAAGATATTCCCTCCCTGTATTAATTTCTTATTTGACGCAAAAAAGACATCTAAATTTTAAGTAGGCCTATAAGCTATAATACACGAATTAGTGCTAGGGAAAATGTGTTCGTCCAATTTAACAGAACGTCAATGTATTAAATAGTGTTTTTCGTCGAGGCATCTTTTATACTGGAATAATTAGGATGATTCTCTTAAAAATCATTGCCCTATCTCAGTGAAAAATGCCTCGTCTCACACGTAGTTGTCTGTCTTATCTTGTGTTTAGTTTGTCCTTAGTGTCCATTTCACAGTATCTTGTAGCCTATATTTGTCTCAGTGTCCATAGGTTAGTTTGCATAGTATATTAGAACATATACAAAAATGCTTGCTTCTTTGCTCCGCCTCGACGCCCTATGCTGGAAATCCACTAGATGGAATTTGCACTTGTACAAGTGCCTTACAGACACAAAAGCCTTTCGCTTAAACCTTACACCTCAATGTAATTTCATTTGCTGCTTGATTGCTGTGTACGTAATATTTATCAAATATCATATCATTGTAAAATTTGTACGTGATGGTACAAATTGTAATGAATGACTGCATTGAATCTTACGGAATGAAAAACAAATGCAATCGTTTTACCTTATAATTACGCTAGAGTGTTCCTGCTTCTTCAACCGTCGTCACTGCCTGGCACGGCGTACTGTACAAAGCGCATACCGACTGCGTTTGTCGGGCAATAATTATTAATGCGCGCCATTACGTCATATTCTTAATATAGCATTTGCTTTAGTATTGCCACAAAAGCCTCCCATCATCTATCTCAGGGTCCGCCTTTAGATCCCTACGCTATAGCAATGGTACAGCCGATTGATGAAAAAAGGCCTTGGTTACCACTAGTGTACTTGATCTCTCATTGGATTCATACTGTTAAACCAGTAACCTAAAGTCAGCACTTTACCGACGCACCACCAATATTAATGCGCACGAAATGCATGGACTGTATAATGCAAGCATTGATCTCCATATACACAGACTGGATAGGACATCCCGCAGTGTTTGCGCACGAAAGCGCGGCCGAACAAAGGCGGCGCGTTTACTGTCAGACGGGTAAACGCGCATTGTGCATTCATTTTGTTTACCCTGGAAACTGGATTATTGAGTAAGATTTTTTCTTACAGAAGAGAATTGAAGCGCTCTTCCAAAACAAATAATTTAAAAAAAAAAAATTTAATGAACGATGACGAGTTACCGTAATCACCTCAAACAGCTTTTCCACACTTCTTTATTTACATTTTCGAATATCTCCTTTTCCTGTTTTTTTTTTTAAATCTTCCCTCCCAAGATTGATTGTAAGTAAATTGCCATTTCAGTTTTGCCACATTGGTCATCAGAGAACATTGATTTACTCCAATAATGAACTGAATAATTGCATTAATAATATTCTGAAATGAGGTCACATTTTTTAACTCAACACTCACACGATGAATTGTATGGAGATTCATTCAAATGATTGAAACAATTATCTAAAAGGTAAATGGAAAAAAATAACTTTACAAATTAATCAGGAAAAATATTTTCCCGTCCCTAGGTACAATATTACAGATTGAGCAGGGATAGTAGAGTCATTTTCCTGGAATCCGTGACCTTGTTGCGGATACCTTTTTTTCTTGATGTATTTGACAAATAGGACCAATGTAAAGAAAAACATAGCTCCTATACACCTCCCAAAAGTTACGACCAACTTTTTATAGCACTTTTTTTTTCAAAATGGCTGCCGACGCCATATTGAAATACATAACAAGTGATATCTCGGGAACCGGATGAGCCATAACGTAACGATAAATGAGGTGTCGATTCCAAAATCCCTATGTTTTCCTGCAGTTTCCCGATTGATCATTTTTTCGAGGGTGGGCAGGGTATTTCCCCCCGGCGGCCCCCCCCCCACCCCTTAAATAAACAACAATATGATTTCGCCCCTCTCCCCCCCCCTTTTTCTCCTGTTTTTTTGGCTTGCCCTCCCCCCCACCCCCCCCCCCCCCCCCACCCACCTCGCGACGCCCATGATAGTTGCCATTTGATTATTTTGATTATTTATTTCGCGTGCTATTGTAATGAATCTGTAACTTATTATTCATCTGGTAAACAATTCCTAAATGTTCACTTCCTTGTGTTGGATTTTTTTTATTTAATCAGCTGATTCATCTGTTTATATATATTTTTGTTTCGATATCGTTTTAACTTCAATATCACGAACGGTTTAGGAGAAAACCCGCGGAGAAAGTGGTCGGGTTGTGCCCGATCACTCAACAAGATCAAACATGTATATAGCTATGTAGGCAATTATACAGGCATCTTTCGAAGCCGGGGGCTTATATGAAGATACCTTGACAAAACAAAACCGAAATGTCAACTCAACAATTACAGAAACAGACTAACAATCGGGCAAACACAAATAGAGAACATGGGATAAAATGTGAGGGTTAGAGAAAATAGAAAATGCCATAAATGAATAATGATGTTGCTAGTCATAAATTAAAGCTAAGCATCAATATTGTAAAATAAGTAAAAACGATATCGAAACAAAAATATAAATATACAGATGAATAAGCCGATTCAATAAAAAAAATCCAACAAAAGGAAGTGAACATTTACGAATTTGTAACCAGATGAATGATAAGCAACAGATTCATTACAATCGCACGCGAAATAAACAATCAAAATAATCAAATGGCAACTATCATGGGCGTCGCGGGGGGGGGGGGGGAAGGCAAGCCAAAAAAAAGGGAGAGTTCCTTACACTAACGATCGCACAAAGCATGATGGGAAACACCATGGCGCCGCAAGATCGTACCCACGCGGCACGAGGTTGGGATAGAGGATATCCATACAGCATTCACACAGTAGACTTTACATATTGACCAATTAGCCCCCGGTTTCACGAAGATGGCTGCGTATAATACGAACGTTCAGCGCGTATATACGCGCGCGTTGTATCAACAGTTGACGCGCACTTTAGTCACGTACACATATAATGATGTTCTAAAAGGGACACATTTCCGTAGTGATTATTATTTCCAAAACGCCGAAAAGTGAAATGCGGCGTTGAAAAAGTAAATCACGTCGTTAGAAAAATTGTAAACCTTGGTCAGTGGTGGTGGTCAAAATATAAGTCAAGTGAACCGCGATGTTACAAAAGAAATCATGCTGTCTATAAATTGGGCAACTTGTCCTTTGTAGATCACCAGCCGGTCTCACCGGTCTCACCAATATGGCGTCAAATTCATTCATTGTGCGACTCTCATTTCGCTATCCAGTCGTTATATAGAGATCAGTGGTTGACGTGCACCGTTCCTTGTGTGAGAAGACGCGCGTACACGTTATATGTACACGCAGTGGCCGCGCACCCCCAATTGTACTTCCTTTGCCGGTGAGGGGATGGGGGATATTTACCCCCCCCCATATATTTTGTAAAGAGTGCCGTTTTTTACGAGCGCTCTTTCTTAACGAGCGCCCGTTTTTTGGAATGTTGCGCAAAAGTCGGCAAATGTGCCGCCATGAAAAGCGGCACCTTTTGTCCGATATTGCCCATGATCGGCCGGTCTGAACAGCGCCCCCATAAGAAGATGATGTCCAATCGCCCCACCACTTGCCCACGAACACCGGGATCTGAACGTCCATGGACAGCCGAGTTTTGTGATCTTTTATATTGAAATACATGTGGATATAACGTGGTAATAGAGTATGAAAATTACGTGATTTTTTTTCACAGATACAAATCAATAAGATGTACTTTATCCCTATTTGTTTTTATTAAAATGGAGCCAAATATTTTTAAATATTTTTTTTTAATTCGGTCAATTTCTTTAAGACCCACCCTGTATTGCGGCTCGGTGGCTTCCATCTCATGAACTGCTTGAGTTGTTGGAAAGCTGATGTGTGGAACCGGATTGAAAGAGTTATTTGTTGAAAGAAAGCTGTGGATGGAAGGTATCGCGCTCTTTTTCTCTTCAGTGAGTTTATCTGCTTTTGCATTTGGACCTACTCTGTCTGGAGTTGCTCAATCAACAGTTTCAACACCTTTCCAATATCCAGCTTCC